TCGACATTGCTGCTAGGACGGAGATCCGTTCTCCCCGGATAAACGGCAAGGTGACCACTGCAGGTTTGTTGCGCTTTGACCATGCGTACCGACGTCCTCCATCTCTACTAACCTTTGCCGTTTCGTCTAAAAGGACTAGTTGCTCGGTCGTAGAGTAAAACGGCTTTAACTTGTCAATATAATCTTGAACTTGGTCAACTTTAGCCTCGCGTGCACAGCCCCAGATCGAAGCGAAGCGCCATACAAATTGTAGCTGTTGACAACTTGATATTCCCGAACTTATACTGTAGCGTGTCTTGGAGTTCTTCGAGATAAAAACACGGGTGGTCCTCCAGGTACTTTTTTTTTAGTACAAAGTCGCAAACCGCCACAGGCCAGCGTGACGCTCGTTTCTCCCGTTTTGAGCGAGTGGCCAGACCATATTTCCGAAAAAGAAGTTTCCAGCGCTTGATGGACCGTATGGACGCTCCCAGGACGTGGGCGATCTGAGTCATGTCAATGTTGTAGACAAAGAAAAGTACGATAGCACGCCAACGAAGGTCTTTTGAATACGCCATGCTGCAAGATTTAGGGGAAAGTGGCACTTTTCAAAAGTTCCAAAGCAGTTGATTCTCGTATTCGTTGGCCCTGGGCTGTTCATTGTGTATAGGGATTGTATTGTTGCTCAAAAAAGCTAATTCGTGCATGGATTGCAATTATTCGTGTTCAAGTACGACTTGTAATATCTGAACCGCGGTTAAATCGTACGACTTACTATTAAAAGGGCCAAAAAAGCTGCAAAGCACAATACCTTTTATTATTTAAAAATAAACCATATTTAAGTTGGCATCGGGGAGTTCGAATGACACTAACTTACCACTGTTGCGCACGGTCAACCTATCCTAAGTCGTACAAATGCTCTAAGTTCACACAGTTTTTATTTATTTCAGAGGTCATTTGGCGGGGCAGCATTGTAGTTTTGCATTTTGCGCTTGAAGAGGCTGTTCGTCACAGTTCATAAAGGAATTATTATAATACACATGGTCTTGCCTCGGCCGCTTAAAACCAGCTAACCCAGAGCGTTCCAGGTCTCTCCCTGGTGTTATTCAATGATGCAACCACAACGAGCCTGTTGACATTCAGAATAAGCAAGCCCGGTTGCGCCTGCGTTCCCCACATCGACGCTCGGTCTGCTACGGTGTGTTAGTGTCAAAATCGCCTACACAGAGTGTGGCACTGGCAACCAAGCAGAATGCCACGTTAGGACTCACAGTCAGTACATGTACAGCGCTTACCGGTATCCATCTAAAGATTCACTACGGCGTTGCTCGCAACAACGCGAAGGAGCACCGCGCCATGCACTCTATGCAGCTCGGCTATTGCAGAGCAGAGACACCGATCTTTTTCTCCACCATCGCAGAGACTGCATCTTCGATAATCTAGCTCGCAAAATCTTTAGCAACAACGCCATTGCGCCGAAGACGACAGCGCAGTCAAAAATGCTCGCCTTATTCCATGAGTGTAAATGCACCTAGCGTTAGTAGTGACAGCATCATGCTCATGTTGCGAAAGATTCGAAAACCTGATTTCGCACTTAGCCGGTTCTTTACAAACATCAAGTAAAAATGATGGGACAATCATACGACAATAACAGTCCTTGTCGAAACGGACTCCCTTGGAACACGAACCAAAGCACAGGAAGCTGTTTGTATTGGCCACGTGGAAGCCACTTGCCAAGCTCAACAACACGAGGCGCCTCGTTTTTCGCTCATGCGCAAGCGCCGACACCCTTGCGGCGGCCAAATAGAAAAGTCGTGACGGGCGGGCTGCCACTGGCAACATTGCCCCTTGTCGAGCCTCGACGCGGGGCGTCCATTCCTTCCGACCTTGCCTGCTACAGCGGTACAGTACACAGCACCGAGCCGATTGCCTCGCATGCTCGACCAAGCCCCTCGAAAATCTCCCCAAAGACTCCAAGAGCACAGGCCTCCTCAATGCGGTGCCAAGGGCAAACCTGATTTGGTGCCAGAGCCTCCTTGGCCATATTTGACTTACGTTTTGTATGCGAAACGCAACAAATGTGTGTTCGAAAACTCGAGGGATGTCACTATACCTTGTCACTGATCTGAACTTTACAAATCCCAAGTATGTTACTCTTCTGAGGCTATCCCAAAACGCGATCCTTCCCTGGCACCCATGGTTCATTTCCAATTTTGGAACACCGAGCGCAAAGACGAAGATCTTCGGCTGGAAGTTCCCTTTACCGGCGCTGCGTGGTCGTAACCCCAGCAGCAGTACAAGCATGGCTCAGTTTGACGCATACCGCGCTAAGATGCAGGCCGCTGGCCTGTCGACGGAGGCTATCAAGGCGTTCGAGTACTCGTACGACGCTCTCGTGAGCGGCGAGACGGGTATGATCGCCGAGAGCTCCATCAAGCCTGCTGACAACCTGCCGTACCTGGAAAACAAGGCTGACAGCATCCGCGAGTCCGTCAAGGCCGACCCGTCCCTTCTCAAGGAGACGGTCGTGCTGAAACTGAACGGCGGTCTGGGCACCAGCATGGGCCTGGACAAGGCCAAGTCGCTACTGACCGTCAAGGGCGATGACACCTTCCTGGACATCATGGCCAAGCAGGTGACGGAGCTGCGTGCCACGCACAAGTCCCACGTGCGCTTTGTGCTCATGAACAGCTTCAGCACGAGCGCCGACACCCTCGAGTACCTGCAGAAGTATCCGGAGATCGTCGAGGACGAGACTTTAGAGCTGCTGCAGAACAAGGTGCCTAAGGTGAATGCGGCCACTATGGAGCCGGCCTCGTACCCTGCCAACCCCGCTAAGGAATGGTGCCCGCCTGGACACGGTGACCTGTACGCGTCCCTTGCCGGCTCGGGCAAACTGGACAAACTCGTCGCTGACGGCGTCAAGTACATGTTCGTGTCCAACTCGGACAACCTGGGCGCTACCCTTGACCTGGACCTGCTGACGTACTTCGCCCAGTCTGGCAAGCCTTTCCTCATGGAATGCTGTGAGCGCACGGAGAACGACAAGAAGGGTGGTCACTTGGCTGAGCGTACTGCTGACGGCCGTCTCATTCTCCGTGAGTCTGCCCAGTGCGCTGACGAGGACGAGAAGGAGTTCCAGAACATCGAGAAGCACCGTTACTTCAACACGAACAATCTGTGGATCCGTCTGGACAAGCTCCAGGAGGAGCTGAAGAAGCAGGGTGGCGTCATCCGCTTGCCCATGATCAAGAACTCGAAGACCGTGGACCCCAAGGACTCGAGCTCGACCCCCGTGTTCCAGCTGGAAACGGCTATGGGCGCTGCTATCGAGTGCTTCGACGGTGCTGGTGCTGTGTGCGTCCCTCGCACGCGTTTCGCTCCTGTGAAGAAGTGTGATGATCTGATCCTGTTGCGTTCGGATGCCTACGTGATCACGGAGGACTACCGCCCTGTTATCGCCCCTGAGCGTGAGGGTGTGGCCCCCATTGTGTCTCTGGACTCCAAAAACTTCAAGCTGGTGCAGCAGCTCGAGGCTGCAGTGCGTGGCAACGTGCCGTCGCTGATCAAGTGCGACCGTCTGAAGATCACTGGTAACGTTGGCTTCGCGCCTGGTGTTGTGTTCGAGGGCTCTGTGGAGGTCGTGAACAAGAGCTCTGAGCAGAAGACTGTGCTTCCGGGCACGTACAAGGACACCACTGTGGACCTGACTGAACAGAAGGGTCTGGGCAAGCTTAAAGTGTCGACCGTGAAGACGTCTCCGTTCCTGGACCAGAAGCCTGGCACTTCGGGTCTGCGTAAGAAGACGAAGACGTTCATGAGCGACAACTACCTGCAGAACTTCGTGGCTTCGGTGTTCGAGGCTCTACCGGCCAAGGACCTGAACGGCGGTACTCTCGTTGTGTCCGGTGATGGTCGCTACTTCAACAAGGAGGCCATCCAAATTATAATTAAGATGGCTGTGGCTTACGGTGTCGACCGTCTGTGGATCGGCAAGGACGGTCTGCTGAGCACCCCCTGTGTGTCGGCTGTTGTGCGTGAGCGCGAGGGCGGCAGCGTCGCCTTCGGTGCCTTCATTCTGTCGGCAAGCCACAACCCTGGTGGCCCGAACGAGGACTTTGGCATCAAGTACAACTGTGAGAACGGTGGTCCCGCCCCCGAGAAGGTGACGAACGAGGTGTTCGCTCTGTCGAAGGTGATCACATCGTACAAGATCGCCGCTGACTTTCCCACGGTTGACGTGACCACGATCGGCACGACCACTGTTGACGCTGACGATGGCAGCCGTACGATCACAATTGAGGTGTTCGACTCGGCTGAACACCACGTGGACTTGCTGAAACAGATTTTCGACTTCCACGCCATCAAGAAGCTGGTGTCTCGCTCGGACTTCACGTTCGTGGTGGACGCCATGTCGGGTGTGAATGGCCCGTACGCTCGCCGCGTGTTTGTGGAGGAGTTGGGCTGCGATGAGTCGTGCCTGCTGAACGCTACTCCTCTGGAGGACTTCGGTGGAGGCCACGCCGACCCGAACCTGACGTACGCCAAGACCTTGATTAAGGCCATGGGTGTGGACGCCAAGGGCCTGCCTGTGACGGGCCAGGAGCAGGAGCCGCCTTCGTTTGGTGCTGCCTGGGATGGCGATGCTGACCGTAACATGATCCTGGGCTCGCGCTTCTTCGTGACGCCTTCGGACTCGCTTGCTATCATTGCTGCTAACTGCACAGTGATCCCGTTCTTCAAGAACGGCCTGCGCGGTGTGGCTCGTTCGATGCCTACCAGCGGTGCTGTGGACCTTGTGGCCAAGAAACTGAACGTGCCCTTCTTCGAGGTGCCGACTGGCTGGAAGTTCTTCGGCAACTTGATGGACTCCCACGTTGTGTTCGGCAAGGAGGACTACACCCCGTTCATCTGCGGTGAGGAGAGCTTCGGTACGGGCTCGAACCACATCCGTGAGAAGGATGGCATGTGGGCTGTGCTGGCCTGGCTGTCGATCCTGGCCTCGAAGCAGGTGGAGGGTGCCCCACTAGTGACAGTGGAGGACGTCGTCCGCGACCACTGGAAGAAGTTTGGCCGCAACTACTACTGCCGTTACGACTACGAGAACGTGGACAAGGCCGCTGCCGAGGGTATGTTCGCCGATATGACCAAGTTCGACGGTGTCGTTGGCAAGGAGATCAACGGTTTCAAGGTTGAGAAGGCTGATGAGTTCGAGTACGTGGACCCCGTGGACGGCAGTGTGTCGTCACACCAGGGTATCCGCTTCCTGTTCGAGGGCGGCTCGCGTGTCGTGTTCCGTCTGTCGGGCACGGGCGTTGCTGGCGCGACCATCCGTATGTACATTGAGAAGTACGAGGAG